GGGAATAAGTACCTGGTATCAGGTTAGTAAAATCTTATCACAATCCAAAAATTAACAGTTCTAGTCTAGATAGTGCAGTTTGAAACATGGACAGTGACAACTGACCATGCTAGTGCTCATGCTGTGTTGCATGGTCAGGGACATGCCAAAGCTTTACGAGACTGTCCAGTGCCTGTTTAATACAACTGAGCAGTGACCAGTGGTGCTGGTGGGGTTTCCATGCTCCATTAGATGGCAACAAATGAACAAAGGTAATTATGTAATTACTAACAGAGGGCAACATGGTGGCAATGAAATTTGCAAACTTCTCAACTTGATAAATTATTTAAAAAAATGAAGGGTGAATGGGCTACGTCAAGGAAAAACCTAAATGCAACCCATGAAGAGATCAGGAATGACATTTCTGGGATTGGAAAGGTGCAAGACCTTTTGTCTAATTTGAAAATATGTGAAAATGTTTTGAAGACCATTGCAAGTAAAATTAACTCCAATCAAGAGGATAGCGTCAAGCTGACGGCAAGGTATGATGCAATTGAATCAATGCAACAGAATATCTATGTGGAAATGGACCATCATGATAAATTCCAAAATTGAAAAGTTTGAGGAAGCGTTTAAAACTACATATTCGTCCAAAATCATGCAAACAGTGACAGAAGAGATAGAGGAAAGAAACCATAAACTTAAAAATATCATCACCTACAGAATTCAAGAAAGCAAGTTAGAAACCCCTTTTGAGGAAGAAAGAAGACATTGGAAAATTCAGAGATACTACAACATTTATTGGCACAACAATCCTCCCTTTAGTTGGTAAATGAGCGGGTGGAATCATGGCTACTTCCTCTCAACACTAGTACACATTTCTACATCTTGGAAGCAACAATCCACAGTACAGTTAAACCATTGGAATCACTCCCTAGACACAACATTGCAAAACAACATTGAACTATAGAAGAATGAGCCAAAATGACAGTTCACTAAACAAGAGAACATTACATGAAATTCAGGGAAGTATCCCCCGGCCACATCGACATCTCAGAAATCCTCTTTGTTGTGTGTGTTTGTGTTTATGTTTGTACATGGCTCCCTGTAAGACATCATGGCTTCTCATGATTCACAACCATGTAATTATATCACAAAATAAATTGATACAACGGAAACCACGGAACATTCTTGATCACAGCTGGCCACTTTACCACACAGGAGCAGGAAACTCTTGCATCAGTACGTGACTGACATTCAAGACGTGTAATACTTATCACACAAAAAGTAACTTCAATGTAATGTTCATTAAAAATATCATTTTACACAAGAGTACAGAAGCACTGCACTTACTAATTTCATTAATTCTTCTGGCAAACTATATTATTGTCAGACGAGGATATCACAAAAGGAGGCGTCTAATCTATTTACAAGTTAGTGAACTACAAATGATTGAATGAAAGAGTTAAATGGGCTGAAGGACACACCACAGAACCATAAGTTATGTTGTCATCACTAGTTGTCAAAACAGTCTATTAGTATAAAAATCATCCTATATCTTGTAGTTGCTGTATCCCACGATTAGAAATGGGAGAGTCAAGTTGCTTCCGTAACTACATAAACGGGCCAACATCATGGCATATTTAATAAGAAAACCTTTTTTTCCATGTGACAGTCTGCAATAAAGAAAATCCCAACTATATACATCAGGTCTGTGCTAGGATATGTAATTTTGGTATGCTCATCCACTATCAACAATACATTCTCCATTTAGAGAAAGTGCAGATCTCCCTCTCAAAAATCCGAAGAAAATTATCACTGTCATAAGAAAGGTGACACAAGATGACTCTTTGGACCTTACTGAAAAGGAAAAAAGAGGAGATACAGTAGAAATCTATACGGGCTGCATGGGTGCTAAAATGTGTCCCAAATTTATGAGAACTAACAAGAGCTCCAGATCAGTGTGAGAAGACATTATATGAAGCTACAAGAAGAAAAGGCAAGAAGGAGAAATCAATCACATTTTACTGTAAATTGAGCTATAAACTAGTGGACTGCTCTCCCCGCAAAGTTGTGTTAACACTTTCAGGCCTGAGCTTTCAACGCCATTTTAATTCCAGTATCCTGGCCATTTCAAGGCTTCTTTGGGAAATTGTATCAAGCAGTAGGTTAGAGAAAAGCAAATGAAATTCGTGACAAATAAAACTAATACTTATTTAACCTGGGGGAAAATGTTTAATGAATATTAACACACTATTAATTCGAATAGAATGCTTTTTTTATTGCTGGAAAAAATTTCAAATTTAATACCGAAACACAACTTCTACATGAAAGTGTAGTCTTCTCTGGCCGGAGTCAATCGGGTTGGGATTGAGGTAGGAGACAGAACCCATACACAGTCCACCTGCATATTTCACCCTGAGGAATGACACAGTACGAAGACCAAAACATTGTACTCAGATCACGGCTTCTCTGAGACAGTACACCATTTGTACAAAGTTAGCCTCTGTCAGGTAGAATCTAAAACAATCTTCTTTACATAGAGGTACATAAGGAGCCTAACAATGTTTTCCCCCGAATTTCACACATTGCTTGTTACAGAAGGTGTGACTTGGTTTGTGATACCCAAGGTAAACTTGGGCTCCATCCACTGTGATTAAAATGGTAGTTCGAGCCACGCTCTGGCATAGGACAGTGTTAACATTGGAGACCTTGAATTCATTCACAATAATTTTAACCCTTGTTTGTGAAGCCAAATGAATCCAGAGCAACTGACATGATAGCCGAGATACGACATAATGATTATAATTAAAGGGTATGAGTAGATCTCGTTTTGCTGTTCCCAAAATTCAATAAATATATTAGTTATTTTCTGCTGAGAATTCTAAAGAAATAAGCATGAAAAAAACAAATTAACCAACAAGATTCCATTGTGTACATAAGGACATCAAGTATCAAAATTAAGTATCTGAAAAGATATCATACAAAATTTTTATAAATATTCTAGAATTAGTGATTACTCTTCACAGATAACACACAAAATGTAATTATCAAAATATTTTTATTCAAAAAGAAGCACTTTTGTGTGTAATTTTTGCTTCTGTATTAAATAATCTATCCAAAGCAATTAACAAGCCTCACAATCTGACATAAAACATTTTTTCTTAACCTTTTCGCTGCTACATTCTCCGTCGTTACGCGCGGCGAGGAATACGGTCCATTTTCCTGGTGGTGCTTCTACCTACGCTGAGTCAGTGGAATGTCCCACCTTTCCCTGTGCTGAATCAGTTACGTGCGCTCCAGACTGGTCTGCGCCTCGCAGCCACAGTGAAAGGAAATTACATTTCCCATCCTTCTTTTTGATTCGGGCTTTGGACTGACACTGGTGAAGTTAAATTTTGTTTGTTTAGTACTATTTTTTAAAATTTATTTGTTAAAATGTTTCTTTTTTATCTTATCTTCGGCTTTGGACCAACACCGGCGAAGGTAAAAATATATTTTTTTGGTTTTTGGAATTATTTTTGGTTTAAATCTTTTCTTCTTTTCTTAGGACAAGATTTTTAATTTTTTCATAATAATTTTCCTGCAATTCCATTGACTTTAATATTTCTGTTTTGTGTGAAATATTTCAAAGCACGGAGCAGCACATAAAGGAACATTGAATGCTTTGCATTCGTACTTAGTTTCTTGACGCTTGTTTTGTTTAACACAAACAACACATCTTCGCCTTGATGACCTCTTCTTAGACTGATCACCAGGTATCAGATTTGGAAAATGCCTTCCCGTAAATCGAAGGACATTTTCGTCTTCTGACCGCCTTCCTCTACCAGCTTTTCTGCGCTCTGTGGAACATTTTTCAATCAGTTCTCGAATTAGGGATAGCTGAAATTTCGCCATTGGAATATTTTGTTCTGTCTCCGATTTGTGAAGTGCATGAGAATTTAATACGCACAAGTCCAAAATGTGAAAAAAGAATTTCTTATACCATTTGACGCTCTTACATACTGATTGTATCGAGCTCAATATCATCTCAAAACGGTCAACTGCTCCCATACTTGTGTTGTAATCAACAACACATTGCGGTTTTCTTATCCTTTTGCCAGTCATCCTGTTTATTTTATTAGTTTCAATCATTTCTGCGGTGTTATATGTAGCTCAAGAGGAAGTTCTCGGTTAAATAGAAAACAGACATTGTGTTACACAGAACTGGAAACAAAGAAAAGAATTTCAATGGAAGTGCTTCCGCGAGCCGCCCTTCACATTAGGTATATTTGGAAAACCCGGAATTATCCACCTTTCCCTTCTGTAGAAAGGAAATTCACTAGAAAGAAGCGAAGAGGCAGTGTGCGCCATAAGACGTCCGGAGGCCCCCAGAAACGGCCCGGCATCGCGCCTATAGACGTCCAGAGGCTGCAGGTAACATCACGTCGCCGCGCCATAAGTCCTTCACATTAGGTATATATGGAAAACCTTTCCCTTTCTGTAGAAAGGAAATTCACTAGAAAGAAGCGAATAGGCAGTGCGCGCCATAAGTCGTCCAGAGGCTCCCAGAAACAGCCCGGCGCCGCGCCATAAGGCGTCCCGAGCAGCGAAAAGGCTAACTATGCCACACCCAGGTTAGTTGGAAATCTAATCAATTCATAATAAAAAGATTTGGAAGAAGCTCCATTACTAAACAAGAAGCAAAACGGGCAGTCAGCTGTTGCAACCTTATGTTTTGTCTTTCTCTGCTTTCAAGTTGTTAAATTCCATACTGGTACTGAGAACTCAACAGCAATACCAATATGAAAGAGTGTTAATCAAATCAGCTGCAAAAAATTCCCTTAACAAAATTACACACAAATGAGAGAAGATGTTAAGTCTATGTTCAGACACCATTGTCAAGGGTTATTAGAAAAATTATGCGGAGTATTTTGTTTCCAGTGACATCAAGAACTTTAGTCATTAGTCGCATAAGTGTAGTGAAAGGAGTGTTTGTGGAGTCACAAGAGATTAAAAATAAAATATGAAATCAGAAATGTTCAAAAGAACCTTTTTTTCTCCTTCTTTTGCTTCTTTCTCTTCTTCTTATGCTTCTTCCGTTCTCTTGTTGAGTCCGAGTCACTTTCAGAACTTGATGAAGTACTAGAAGAACTACTGCTACTGCTGGATACCATCCGTTTTTTCTTCTCTGTTTAAAAAAGAAAAACAAACTTAGTTTAGATAAAGAGCTTCATTGCTTGGAACTGTGCTCCCATTCACCATTAATCCATCCTAACTTCCTCATTTGAGGATGCACTGTTCTCTTTTATTTTAATATACATAAAAGTAGCCATTTTCTGCATTTGTCTACCAAGTGTATGTGACTATAAGCTTATATTTTTTAAATTATTAAAAGCTCTTTCATTATTTCAAAAAGAAAATTTATAGGATGGTACTTTTTGAAGCATGTCATCTTATCACTCATGCGGTGCAATTGTGGCACGACTAAAAAACTACAAATTTTGAGTTAATGCACTCTACAGAATTGCAGATTGGTCTACCTTCCAGCAGCACATCTTACAGTAAAGTATTCTACCCAAACATTGTCATCACAAATATGACAAGAATGGAGAACTTTTATCATTATGTAGAATGAAAATAGAGGAGTAACAATCAACATAAAGCAATGAACAACCTGCAATTTCAGAGAGACTAGGGGGATATATTCAAGCATTTAAAATACTTCCTTGCAACAAAACTTGACTTCCAAAAACAATTACCATTAGAAGATATTTAAGCAAATAGATTTAAGTCACAAGAAAAAAAACAGGAGAATCAATTTGTAAAATGGGAAGAACAATGTCACATAATTTACTTACACACATATATCATCTTTCATAAAAAAATTACAGCTAAAATTTATTATATGGTACAGCCTAAGAAAGTCGTTTAAACCGGCACTTCGCGCTGCTTTGGGGAAGGGGAAATCGACAGGGGATGGGACGAGAGGTGTTTAGAGGATTATGAGGGGAATCTTTCTGTGGGGAGGAGTGGTGAGCAATATGAGTCACTTAGCACATATATACATATACATAAACATACATATATATTAAGCAAAGCGTGGGCGATTTAATTAAATTGTAAAAATAAATTTCTGAAATAATTTTAATGGTTGGTAATAGGTCACGAACGTGACATCAAAAGTTAGGAGGGGAGGTCAATTTCACCCTAGTATCTCATCGGAGCTTCATTACATGGTGGTACCTAGTGGCGTTGAAGTGATGTTTTTTTGTGTTGGGGTAGCTGTCGAAGTGGTTAGCTACATTGCTGTCGTACAGTTACGTTTCTTGTGTTATTCAGATTCTTTGCGATTTGCATTTTTGAGTGTCGAGTGTCTGTGCTACGATGGTGAGAATAAATGTGGCTTTTTTTGTGTGTTGTGCCGAAGGGGGTGTTTGGCAGTTATTGAATGGGCGCAAAAATGTTGTTTGATTGCTACAGGATTTAGGAGTCTTGTGTGTAAGTGTCCAATGAGGTTGGCCAAGCAAAAGGAGTTGTGTGCTGGTTTCGAGTGGAAGTGTAGCAAGAAAGTGTAGCAAGAAAGGGGCCACTCCTCATGTGCGAAAGTGTTCAGTGGGAAGGGGTCATGGTTCGCACAGCTGGCCAGTTCGATAGCTACCTGGCAGAATATGTTTGGAGATGCCTTCAAGGGGGCAAAAACCCAACTGAGAGGATTTTGCCGTTCCTTGAGGGCGCCCCCAAACGCTATGAGCAGTAACAATCGCCAATCAGTAAGTTTTATTCATTTCTATCCGAGCGCTTAGTGTAATTTGAAGGACGGCTTAAGGAGACTCTCCTTCTCCCCCTCCCTCCCCCCTCCGCCACGCTTCTCTACGGGTGTACTATATATTAAATTTTAACCAAAATTACTTCGGGAAAGAAATTTGGAAATATTTACCATGTGCTACTTTAGCTTTGATCTTGAGTACAAGTTCTCCACAGTTCACAACTTTGGCATCTTGTAATGGTCGACACACTCTGTCTACAGGAAGGCTTTCAATGTTGCTCGCCACTTCTTGTCCAGATATCACTTGTCCAAACACCACGTGAACACTGAAAAAAATGACAATTATAATATATAATTGTAATTGTGACAGGAATAAAAAATATATATTAAATCTAAAAGCATAAAATTGTTTTGCTTACCCATCCAAGTGAGGGGCTGGTTGCGTTGTACTATAACAACAAAACATGATTAGAGCAAGCCAGGGGGCACCAGAACCGCCACAGGCTTCACCATGTCCCGCCCTGCTGCGGTGCACCATAACTACACAGAAATACAACACTACTAGCATTGTTCTTCATAACCTAAGCAATTTATAAAATCCATTCAGTAGTACTTTTGTTTGATCCTCTCTAATTATTTACTCATTTATTAATTCTTACCCATATCTGTTGACGATAACTATATTTTATATCAATTAATTCAGCACAAGACAAATCGTACGAAATGACTCTTGCTTCACCTACAAATGCCATCCACAAAAATATACAATGCAAACTCACAAGACCCATTAAGTTTGAGTATTCATTTTCAGATATACTTTATTTTCCTTTCCTCTAGCTACAAATTAAATCCAAATCCAGAAAATTTAATTCACACACACACACACACACACAACTATATAATTTTCACAAATATAAGGAATATGCACTTCTCTTAGCAAAATAAATAAAATGTGATAATAGTAGAACATATATATACATTCTTTTGTTTCCAAACTTCTTTTTGGAAAAAATTTCAAATTTGAAGGAAAATTTGTCCATCTGCGTGTTAAAATGGCATTTATGTTCACTTGCAAATTTGACTTTTTTTTACTAGATGTGGAATGCCAAAAAACAGTCCTAAAACAGTAACAGAAAGTGAAATTTGGAAGTTCCATGAACAGTTTTTGATTGTACTTTGTTGACAGAAAAATGTAAAAACATTCAAATATCTTCAATCCTCTGAAATACCATAATTTATGTCAAACAAAGACCTGAAATTAGAATCACTAGATCAGTATCTTCCACATCCAGAAAGAAATAGGTAACTCATTTCTACCTTTTAATTCATCCCTAGCAAACCAAGTTTTCTAAAGATGCATTAAAAGCTATGTCTCATTGTGGAGCATATCACAAAGTTTCTGGAACCATGTTTTAACACTGCAGTCTAGTTCATTACTGCCAATAAAACAATAATATGCTTTGTCATTTACTCTAGTTCATTCATGCCATGTATCAAAACCTTTCAAAACTCAGATTTATTATCAATGGACACATGAAGATAATAGTCTACAATACATTCAAACAAGGAAAACTAGGAATAAATGCCATTCCTTGGCTCTGTAACATATGAGTCATTGTTTGATTCAATTTTGTCACCATTGTAGCCAATGATTAATTTTCTTCAGGCCATCATTTACCCTTCCCAAGGCACTGTCAATATCATCCACCAAAATTCCTCTTGTACCACCTGAATGAGGTTATCTTCTTCATCACTGTTGCACACTTTAATAATTTGCAATATCTCATTGTCATTGACAAAATATTCCCACATTCTTTCTTCCATTATTTTACAATAAATAAAGAAAAGCAATTTTAATGCCATGCAAAAGTTTGTAACTGTAATAAATCATAGTGTAAATACAATAGAAGATGTAAAAACTAAAACAACTCTTTCAATCCTCAACGCCTTTCACAAGGGACATTAGTGTCCCAAACATAAATATCACTATGAAACAACCTACATTAACACATTCAAGTGATCAGTTGCAAATGATTGTTAGAAACAATAGCAATAACCAAGATGGAAAAATATTATCAAAACAATGAAATAATGCAAATATAAGAAAATTTATCCCCATGACTGATCTAGATAATTACACCCAAGAGATTCCAACAACCACTACTGAAATAATTCAATTATTATGGTTATATTATTAAATTATAGTTATAAAATTGTCAAAAAACATAGTTGGACATGCTTAAAACAGCACACTGACATAGAATTAATTCAGTTTTCACAAAAGACTACATATGTTCGATATGCATTGATGGTAAAGGATGGCAAATAAAGGAAAAAGGGTTGCAAATAGAAGTAAGTAAAGAATAAGTGGATATGACACCCACTGCTACCTTTTAAGGGTCCATCACTTACATTATTACATTCAGCCACTTGATTGCGCTTTGTTTTTAATGTCCCAGCATTCCACTCTTCTGCATTAACTAATATCACTCAAAAAGAGATCTTAACACTTATATTAAAACCTTTCTATTTAAATTATTTTCTGAAACCTCCATTTCAAGTTATTTGACAGAAGCCTCTCATACCCTACAGAAGTAATACGTAAGTAAGTACAAAAACACAAACAGCGATATTTAGGCTCAAAAGAACTTTCATTTGTGGCTTTATTTCCCTTTCACCCCAAATTGCCCAAAGATCCCATAACTGGATAAATAAGTCCCAGACACATCTACTATCATCATTCCGCAAAGCACAGGGCTGAGGAGAGCAAATGAAGAAATGCATTACAAACATTTAGAAAAAAATTGTAGATAGATGTTGCCAATCTTCTGTAATGACCCAATTTCCCAAACAAAAAACAAGGTTTTCTGTAAACACAGGAATCTGTGCCTTCCATGCTTGTTAATTTCAATTCTTATATAACAGACAACTAACCAGAAAGGCTATTTCTGGAATTAATACTTAACTATTCAAAATATTCCCAATTGCCTCTCCCCAGATATTCTCAGTCCAAGAATATAATCATCAGTACATAAATGTAACACAAATGCTATGCAAACAACCAGCATGCAAATGTTAAGCAAATAGTTATATTACTTACATAAAAAATTGTGATCCATTTGTATCCTTTCCTCTATTCGCCATTGACAAAAGATAAGGTTTGTCATGTTTCATTTCAAAATTTTCATCTGTAAATGTAGAAGAGTATGTATTCAGAACCAACATTTAACATAAAACTCTGAAACATTCTTAAATTCACCCACCAGCAAATGTTCCACCATAAATCGATTCTCCTCCAGTGCCATTTCCAACAGAAAAATCACCACTTTGTATCATAAAATCTTTAACTACTCGATGAAATATCACACCCTTATAATGGAGGGGCTTAGATGTAGTCTTTCCTAAACCTTTTTCACCAGTGCATAATGCTCGAAAATTTTCACAAGTGACTGGACACACATCTGAAAATAGCTCCAAAACTATGCGCCCCATAGGTTCGCCACCAACTTCCACATCCAAAAAGCATCGTGGTCTGTGTGTTTTTGTTACAGTCATATTGCAGAACCTAAAATCAAAGAATTCTTCAATAACAATTTACAACAACCATAACAGATCATATTGTTTAAACAAAAAATTAAAAGCTTTCATCCTAATCAAAGCAATGAATACAAACAACTTACATAAATTAGACACAGATAAAAAACCAATATATATATATATATATAATATATATATATATATATATATATATATATATATATATATATATATATATATATATTATCCAAAGGTTGAGT